TTCAGGGAAGTATTTCCTTAGGAATTCCTTACTGAACACAACCGAAGTGATAACTTCCCCTGCAGCTCCCAACAATTGACAGGTGTTAACCCACATGTCATCGGCCTCCTTAGCTAGCATGTGAGTACCTAACTGCACCTTCTGTGCCTCAGAGCAACCCATAACCCGGAAGATCCTCTCGATCTCTCTGAGTCAAGTCTACGCTCCATCTGGATCGTATCTTCCCTTGAAGGTAGGCAATTTGTTCTTCCAAAACTCGTCATTCTCACCAGCATTAGGCTGATTCTGCACAGCCTGAGCAACAGCCTGCAAAGAAACAACAATAATGACATCGTTTCTTCTAGCCATTCTTTGTTACACATCAACAACAGTACACATTGGTTAAGGAAACAACGTCGACAGTAGTCAACTGTCACACAACAACGACTCAACTACATGGCCGGACAGACCGATCTGCTCTGATACCACTATGTAACACCCTAAATTTCCCTCGTAATTTTTTTAAAAATGACATCAGAATAATTAAATCAAACACACACAACCTAGGATGTTACAGGTCAACATACAAAACCTGCTCATCTGATAGACTATATAACACATAAATTCTAAATATAATCATAAAAATTTGAACATGTCTGAGCATTTATTTTATTGCAGCGGAATAATAAAAAAACATTTATCATTTCATGGTATATAATAGTTATCATGGAATCACATAACTCATCAAAACAACAATTAAACATAATAAAAGAGATGTCCACAAATCTCAAAGAATTATAAAACATAAACACGTCCCAACGATTCCCCAATGTTACAATTAGAGCAGACGCCAAACCATACAGAAAAATAAGGAGACTCCATCTTCAACTCACGTCTGAGTCTTACTGTGGAGTATCTGCACATTACCCACGTGGAGGTAATATTCAAATAGAAGGGGTGAGATATCATGATAATATAAAGGAAAGCATGATAAATAGTATGTATTAGGTTAATAGATGTAATGTCACCCAACATCAGCACCAGATTATCCAAGCATAAGGATAACACAACAACAATTCAACTAAATATCTCATATTAATCAACCAACAACATCATCACTAATTAACCACCAACCAACATGGAATCACATGATAACAATCCAATTAATCACAAAAATACCATATATTAGCAACATAGCGACATAGTTAATATATAATGCAACGAGACTCACAAACTGACTCAATGCATATACATGTGGTACCAATTTTCGTCAACTCATGATAATACAAAAACACCTCAAACACGTAACAAAGGAATTGTTTTTAATATAGAAGTATTATATATACATTTCCTGTTACAGGATACCAACAAACAAGTACCACAAAAAAAAAGAGCTCTGACACTTCAACAAACCTAAGTCCCTAGAGAAACGATCTTCCCATCGACGAACACTTGATCCATCTGGATTTGCTCCTTAGAAAGTGTCAAAGGACGATGAAAATACTCTACTTGATCCAAAGCATTTTTAAATGATTGTGAAACCGTCTCAAGATTTGAACTTGTAAAGTCAACCAATTGATGGGATAACGAAGCATTCTAAGAGCGCAAGAGCTCTAACTCCTCATGAGCAGCCTCTATAGTCTTCACCAACTAAGCCACCTGGTGAAAAAGAGGGCTAGTGGGATTCATGGGAAGCAAAACATGTTTCACCCTAGAAAGAGAGGTAGAAGTTTCCTTTGTTTCACACAGGTACCTGTTCTATTGAAGCTTCAGGTCACAAATGTTGTCATCCATCCGTTTCTTTTCAGCACTGTACTAGTTAGACCAAAATGCCTCTCAATGATCGGTTGCGCCAAAGGCTAAAGCATCCAAAGTGCGCAGAGCATACTTGGCCAGATTGCCAATTTCTTCCTCCATAACGAGCCAAAAAAGTCAGAGAGGGAAGCACAGTACTCGTCAAGAGGAGGAAGTTGACGATGTTCAGAAGAGTGGGAGCCAGACCCCGTAAGTAAGGGGGGAACCGTCCAACCTTGGGCACTCGGTAAAGCCGACAGGTTTTCTCTTGCAACATTATTTCTGGTCGGCCATACCCCCGCCTTAGAAGCTGAAATTGTTACTTATTACACATGCACTTTGCATAAAGTTAATAAAAAATATATATACATCAGAGGCATCTAAGGTAGTGATATCATAGAGCTCAAAAAGTTTGAAGTTTACCAAAAATGGTTCTTCTTTCTTCTCGAGAACACGTTTTTACCAGCAATGGGATGTTAATCAGACGTTTCAAACATTTCTTATCAGCTTCTGTCATATGGGTAACTCTTCTTATATACCCCACATTATTGATGAACTTCACCAAATGGCCTTTTTGATTTTGAGCCTCTTATAGAAGTTCCTTATCGTTATATGTGAAAAAGTTATATCCTAGTAAAAAGTGACCATCAGTTCAACCCTTGGGAAACAGGTCGGTACACCGGCCATCTATTCCACTGCCAACATCAAAAATTGTAGCGTAAGCTCTCGAGCCGACAGGATTCACCAGGAAAAACTGGTCCAAAAAAGATGGGAGCTCTAGAAGAGGTTCGAAACCATGAAGGATCATCTTGAAATAGAGTAATCTTCTACCCCTGGCCGAAGACACTGGGTCTTGGAGACATTTGAAAAGGTGAAGAAAGAGGAAATACAAGATTTCCTTCACATGCTCACACCAATACTGGTAGAAACTTATATATGCACAACATGATAAGGTGGAGTTGCAAGGGAGCCACAACAATATGGTTCAAAACCTCTATCTCAAAAGAGGAATGCCCATCATTCGTAAAAAGAATGATGCAATTGTCACATACCCTTTCGTCTTCGGAAGGAACCATGATTCCCCCAGTCAGAAAACAAGTCTACCTATACAAAAACACCATAAAGACTGCTTGGTTTGGTGAAAACAAAAGTAATGGAAGAGTAAACAGAATCCATTCAAGAAGATGGAGTATCCTTTTGGGACTTATAATTGCTTTTATGTGATTTCTTGTTCATAATGCACTAATTATGCAGTCACGGGAAGCAAAATATAAGAAGGGAACAACGAAACTATCAAACTAAATAAAAGACTCGGAAAAAGGGAAGAAAACACTTATTCCTTGAAAGAAACTATGTCAGAGAGGCAAGAAGACTTCACCAAACATGTATAAATCTTTTACATGTAACACTCAAGAATTTTGGTTCCCAAGAACAATCATGATGATACCTATGAAAATACGCTTGAAGTATGATGTAATTAATGTGTGGTTCCTTAAAAGGACTAAAGCGATATTCACTCGTATGTCTCAAATAACTAAGGGATGATCATCATCAAGAGTCATAGTTACAAGCCCTTTCCTACTCATGCCTCAAGGACTTGATGGGCCACTTTTTAAGCCGATTAGAAAGACCCCGGACGAGCTAAGCCTACTGTGTCATCTCGGCCTGCAATCTAATAAAGGTCACGTTCCATCAAGAATCTTTCTTATGAGTGAAGATTGTTATTTCTACGATCCCAAAAGATCTCAACTATAAAGCACATCCAACGGTCATCCGTAAAGAAAGACGAACAAATATCTAGTTAGTTATTTCTCTCTCTCTCTCTCTCTCTCTCTCTCTCTCTCTCTCTCTCTCTCTCTCTCTCTCTCTCTCTCTCTCTCTCTCTCTCTCTCTCTCTCTCTCTCTCTCTCTCTCTCTCTCTCTCTCTCTCTCTCTATATATATATATATATATATATATATATATATATATATATATATATATATATATATATATATATATATATATATATATATATATATATATGTAACAAGTTTCAAATACAATTTTAATTCACTCTTGTTCTTCATATACTAACTTGAGTATTGTAGTGTTAACTTTTCAGGTACCCTCATTTCCCTACATCAGAAATTACAATCCACCGTCACCTCTGTTTAAACTTCTTATTTATGGTTTTAGGACGAATATATATATATATATATATATATATATATATATATATATATATATATATATATATATATATATATATATATATATATATATATATATATATATATATATATATATATATATATATATATATAATTTAATTATTTATAATATAGAATAATCTTTACAATAAAACAAAGCAGCATAACTTAATTATAGATTTATCATTTAACAACACAACTCATAACTAATACTTACTATAAAGTTTCACAATAAAAAGTTATATAAAACAACAAATTTATACTAAATAATTACAAAAACTTCACTAATAGATAATATATTATACTACCTCCGTTATTTTTATATAAAAAATAATTTAATTTTTAAGTTGATTGAATTATTAATATATTTGATAAGTTTATAGATTACTCAATAAACTTTAAAAATAAATTATCTCTTATAAAAAGAAACATAATTAATATATAATTAGTATATCAAATTATTTAATATATGCATTATATTATAAATATTTATTTATTCTACTAAAATTCATAACTATATGGACCGGTATCCACTAGTAATACATTATAACGAAATATAACGACAAAACTTATGTTTGATGTAGCTTTTTTTTTCTTCCAATTATACTCTTTTTTTGTGTTCTTTTGTTAAATCTTAATTTCTCTTTTATTAAAGGTGGTTTGTCATCTCTTTTGTTCTATTTTTTTTTTATAATTATTGTATAAATAATTTAATTAAAATAAAAAAATATTAAAAAAATACCGTTTGACCTAGACACATTCTACCATATAGACTTCACCGTAAAATAAAAACTACTACTTTTTTTTTTCTCATATCAAAATCAAACTACTTCTTTTTTATCATCATGTTCTATAAATAGTCACTTTAAGAAACAATTATTAATTTTGCTTACGAAAGAGATGGAATAATGGCGATCCTTTTCCCCTTTTGAGCTCGAAGTTGACACACACCCAATACACAATTCATCATCAACCCCAAAAGCAGAACAACGCTTAAACAATTAATCGATTCCACGCACCCCACGGTAACCAGCTATGTCATTGCGCAGAAGAACCCTGCTCAAGGTCATTGTCCTCGGCGATAGTGGGTACGTTCGTTTTCCCTTCTTTTCGCTTCAAAACCGCTTTTTCCTCCTTTGAAATTGTATCAATTTGAGTTCACGCCCTTTCGTTCGTTCTCATTGCCAGGGTTGGAAAAACCTCGTTGATGAATCAGTATCCTCATTCGCCGGTTTCGTGATTTTATGCTTAATCGTTCATCGGTTTTTATAGCTTTTTATCAATGAATGAACTCGCTTAAACACCGATTTTTGTTTATTATTTTTTTGTTTAAGTTATCATTTGTTGTTGTTAATTAATGTTTAGGTGCTAATTAGTTTGGATCTCCCTTAATCAATTTTTACTGTTTTTATTGGTGTAACTTATAAAAAAAGTTATAAAAAAGTTTTGACTTTTTTGGGTTCAAGCATCTGGTTTGACTCGTTTATAGTTTTGTGTTTGAGGTCCACTTAATTTCTTATTGGGATTTATAGTTTTTGAGGATCGTTAACTAACTTAGATATGTGCACAACAAGTTTAGTCAGCAATATAAGGCTACAATTGGTGCTGATTTTGTCACTAAAGAACTCCAAATTGACGACAGACTCGTTACTCTACAAGTGAGTTTCGTATTTCAATGGTGTTTCTGTATGCTTTTTGTTTTGTTTGTTTTGGGAATGCTGTGAAAATTTTGTTTATTTGAGTGAGTTTGCATGTGTGGTTTGATTGGTAGATATGGGACACTGCTGGACAAGAGAGATTCCAGAGTCTTGGAGTTGCATTTTATAGAGGAGCTGATTGCTGTGTTCTTGCCTATGACGTGAATGTCATGAGGTCGTTTGATTCCCTTGATAACTGGCACGAGGAGTTTCTCAAACAGGTTATTATTGTCTTTTTTCTTAAATACTACTTTTGTTGCATTTTGTGGTTTGGGTGATAGTTTGCATTTTTGGTCCTGTTTTAGTTTTAGTATTAGTATTGTTATATGATTATATATGTTAGTTGAGGGAATTAGATTTTGCTAGTTTGTTAAGTGCTAATTAGGTCAAATTTTTAGTTGAGTCTTGAGAGGGATGTGATGGTTAGAGAAACAAGACATGTTACTCTGACATGTAAATAAGTAGGATGCAAAGGAGGGTATCTAATCAACCGATAAAGTCTTGGGCCATTTGAGCATTGGTAGGTGTAGACCGTATTTCTTTCTCATAAAAATACCAGTTTCTATTTTTATACTTGAATTATGTTCTTTCATTCATCTTTTTTTAACCTTGTGCTAATGCTCTATCTCTGACTGATTAGATTATGTTCTAGCATCTGCACTTATACATACAATGAATCCATATATTGATTAACCTATCACCACCTGATTGGATATGTCTCACTTTTATATAAATATACAGGTACTTAAGAATCCTATATAAGCTTTTGGATTAAAATTTATGTTCTCATTGTGACAGGCAAACCCTTCTGATTCAAGGACATTTCCATTTATACTGCTTGGAAACAAGATTGATATCGATGGTGGGAATAGTAGAGTGGTAAGCGGATATTATCACACTTTTAAGTTTCCATATTTGATCATAGATGTCTGATTATATGATGTCATTCACATCATTATTGTTTATGCAGGTTTCTGAGAAGAAAGCAAAGGACTGGTGTGCTTCAAAAGCGAATATTCCATACTTTGAGACATCTGCAAAAGAAGATTACAATGTTGATGCCGCATTCCTGTGTATTGCAAAGACTGCCTTGGCCAATGAGCATGAACAGGACATGTAAGTTTTCATGCATATATACACTATGATGTGATATGAATTTAAGTTGTGGTATTGTATACGTTAAGTTAGGTGAAGAAATAGTACTATGATTACCAATTTAAGTTAGGTGAAGAAATTGTACTATGATTATGAATCTACAGGCATGAACCTTTAATTTGTTTAAATAATTGTACCACCCTATTTTATACTCAGAAAAGAAATATGAAGATAAGTGTGTATTCTATGGAAAAAACCAAGGAAAACAAATATAACCAAAACAATGCTCTTTAGTGAAGATCCTCGTTCAGATCACAAGCAAAAATCACTCAAAATGAAGAAAAGAAAAACTTCTCTCTTGGCACTACCCTTACAAAATATCCCGGCCACGTGGTCTCCACTTCCCAATAACTGGCTTTTCACCTCAGCTTTGTATCCTTGCTGATATAGTTTCTAACCCGTCGAAACCATATGCCTATGAGCCAAGTGTTCAGCCTTTTCTTTTCTCTTAGCAGATTTGTGATTGACCTATCTCAATAAGATCACAAGGTTGTGGGATCGGCTGCCTAACTCATTCATTGATTATGAGGCTAGTTCTATGCGGGGTTTAAGTGAGTAGCATGTTATAGGCGCATGCGCATCTACTGGCACTCTCTGTTTAACTGTCAATGAAGTGTTAGAAAATAGAAGATGGTTCACTTTTCTGCATTGCAGGGTACCTGCTTTGGTTTTTTACTTGATGTATAATATTTCTCCCCCTCCTCCCATAATAAGACGGTCTTTCAAAAATCCTTATGTAAGATATTTTGATTAAGATGGTTTGTCTTATAACTGTCATTCCCATGAAATAGGTGAAGTGCCTCAAAGTTATCATCATAATCACTGTCTTCAATGCATACTGTGGGAACTTGCTTTCGTCACCTTTTCCCATTTTCTTTTGCTCAATCCAAATAGGCCTGTATTACTTAAAGTTACTTGTAGTTGCATCTTAAACTATAAGGTGAACTTCTATTGACTTTGTAATGTTATTCCATGAGAATATTCATCACCGAACTTTTTGAAGCGGTGGATTTGCATGGAAATGGTGAAATGACATTTTGAAGACAACCAATGCTTAGTCTGGAGTTGGTAAATGGTGGAATGACAGAGGATTTACACAAAATCTCCGTTCTTTTAACTTTTTTTTCCCTATGATTTAGTGAAGTCTATGTAAACGTTAAGAGTTATTGATTTAAAAAATGAAAATGCATAGGAAAACGTGAGAAGCTGGGAAATGCCAAATGAGAAGGCTTGAAATATGCACTGAAAGACATTTGATCTTTCAATGATATTTCTTTTTTTGAGGAATTTAACCCATTTTCTTTCTAACAAAAGCTATTATGGCGAAATCCAATCATCTTCAAAAAATTCTATCTGAAAGCTATCTGCATCTAACTTGAAAGAAATTGTAAGGAAAACTTCTATTACAAACATCAGTAGTGAAGATCTTGGCATATGCGACCTTTTAAATTATGATTGAGTTGTGTGCAGATTGGTGCTTTTCTGAGTTCTGAAAGCATTGTTTCAATTTGAATTGTTGCAGATATTTTCAAGGGATTCCGGAGGCGGTTCAAGAAAATGAGCAGAAGGGTGGTGGATGTGCATGCTGAAATTGAAATACTGAATAATTTCAGACACTCCTCTCAAAGCTGTGTTTCAAATTCTTTTTTACCATATAGAATACACTATATGCCATGATTGTGTGGGTGAATTATGTGCCTTGATGTTCCCATTTTGATAGTAGTCTTGTTTTGAGAAAAGTATGAGTTTGAGAATGTTGCACTCTCCTAGGCAAAAACAATGAAACATGTTCTATTGATTTGATTTACCACGGATTAGTATATAGGTTTAAAGTGTAGTCATTTTTTGTTTTCTTTGGTGTCCAAATTGAGATATGGCATGGAATGTTTATATTGTTTGAATGATACATACTAGAAATTAATTAATTTGAGCGGTGCTTGATACAGTTGAATATATTTTTATTTTTTTCCAACTAAAAATTACTATTCGAATTTTTGAACCGTTAATGTTAGGTAAGATTGGAATGAATATGATATTGACTTGTGGAGAATATAACCCTGCCAACCCCATGCACCCCACATATTTGTATATTGATAAAAATGTCCCTTGAATTATTTACTAATAAAAAATTACAATTTAATAATTTTTACTTTTTCTAAGCTTTAAATTTCAAAACTTTCTGTAGTTAAGACAAAAATTTTGCTATGATTTTTTTCGCATTTTATGAAATATTCGCATTTATATTAGAAATATAAGAAATTCTGGTATACTCTGAAAAAAAATATATATATGCAATTTTATCGGAATTTTTGAAATTGTCGATGAAAAAATACTGGAAAATTTGAAAATTCTGGTAATTGTCTGAAAAAAAAATATCGAGAATTTTGAAAAAATTGATAAATATCTAAAATTATTGATTATTTTCAAAATTTCGGTATACTGAAATTTTTGCCTACATTCAAAAATTCGATAGTACAGAATAATGCTTTACTTGTGTGGTCCAGAACCAGAAGGTTCACCTACAGATTCCTATATAGATTATACGCAGTTTGTCACCACTGAGGTATGTTTTCTTTTTAACCTGTTTAAAATTTAAAGGCTTTTCGTCTCTATAATATTGATATTTTACTCTTTATATGTTGTAAATGACAGATATTTCCCTTCCGATCTGAAGTATTAGCATTGGCACAATCCATTGATAAACATCATGATATTATTGTTGTCATTGTTCGTTATGATACCGCAAATTAGATGCGAGGGAGGAGAGATAAAATTATTATGGGTTGTGAGAAAGGAGGAAACTAAAAAAAAAAAAGAATACATATGAAAGCAATAATTTCTCATAAGACATTTATAGTATAAAAGTCAAATGTCCTTTTAGGCTGAGATTTGTGGTTGCGATTGGAAGGTGATGGTTAGGTGTGAGTTGCATAATCATAAACTATCTAAGGATTTATATGGCCATGACATATTGAGCCGTCTAAAAGATCATGAAAGACAATTTGTGATTGAAATGATGAAGTACAATATGACTCTGAGGTACATAGTTGCTGCTTTGAAAGACAAACATCCAAAAAATCTCACGAGTGTTGCCTAAGTGCATAAGGTTAGAGCTACATACAATACGAGTAAGAAAGGTCCATTGATGAAAATGCAAATGTTGTTGAGTCTTATTCATGGAGAGAAATACATGTGCTAGACTAGAAATAAAGACGACTCAAATGTTGTTGTTGATATCTGTTGGACACATCCTAATTCAATGGTGAATATATTTCATTTGGTGTTGATTTTTAATTGCACATACAAATGTAGATTTTGATTTATTTGATTGTTGGTCAGCTACTGATTAATGATTATGCATCATGATCCTATAGGTACCGACTATCACTACTTGAGATTGTTGGTGTTAATTCAACAAAGTTGACATTGTCGGTTGATTTTGCCTATTTGAAACATGAAAGGGAGGAAAACATCACACGAGCATTGGAGAAGTTCAAAGAGTTGTTCTCTTCTGAGAATTTTCTACCAAAGGTTGTGGTGACGGACCGGGAACTTACGCTGATGAATGCCATGGAAGTTATTTTTCCAAATTCAACTTATATATTGTGTTTGTTCTATATTTAAAAAAAATGTTAGTATGAAGTGTAAGAAATATGTTAAATAAAAAAGACAAAAATATGTCATGGATTTATGGAACAAAATCATGTATTCAAATAGAGAAGCTGAGTTTGTGGAACACTTTAAGCACTTTGAGGTTGTTTGAGTGGATACTCCTTTATTTGTTAAGTATGTGAGTGAAACATGGTTGTCACCTTATAAAGAAAGGTTTGTTGCTGCTTAGACTAATATAGTCACTCGTTTAGGGAACACAACAACAAATAGGTACATGGCTGTGAGTTTGATGTTATTACATTACTAAATATAATTTAACTTATATTTCTAGTTATGGTTTTTAGGGTGGACCCTGCTCATTGGAGACTAAAAAACATGTTGACTACGAGTCGGTGAGATTTATGCCAAAGTTGGGATATTGTGAACACCATGTTGACGTTGCAGCTAGGTTCAATCAGAGTGTCATTTTAAAAAAGTATTGTCAATATTGAGCATTAGTATAACACGCCATTCTAGGGCAGATTGCACGATTTTGTTTCAAGAAAGTGTATACAACACATTGGAAAGGATCTATAAAGGGTAAAATTTGTTGATGTCAACCAAGATTCATGTGGTTGCTTCATTAGAACAACACATGGGTTACCATGTACGCGTGAACTTGTCGGTTTCCAAATACAAGGCCATCATGTTCCTTTAGAATCAATTCATGTATTTTGGAAGAAACTACACATTGAAGAGCATGAGATCACTCATGAATATAATGACACACACTTGGACTTAGAAGCAGGGTGTGAAGAGTTGAATACATATTTCAATACTTTGGATATTGTAGGCCGATGGCGTTGAAGAAAAAGGTTCAAGAACTAACACATCCATCCATAACTTGTATGTGTCCACTGCTAGTGAAGTACAAGCCAAAGAAACGAGTTAAGAAGATCATAAAGGATCAAGAGAGTGATGTGCATCGTTGTTGCGGTGAGAATCAGATATCAAACTATTGAACTAATTTAAATCACAAATCTTTAAAGTTCACCACCGAGCTTTGATTTATCCAAAGGAAAGGGTAAAAATCGAAAACCCTAATTGTAGTGTAAAAACAAAGCCAAGAGATCTAGGTTTGGGAGTTGGTTATACCTAGGGAAGGTGCTCACATCCTAAGTATCTATAGTACTCTACAGGAACCTCTTGTTAGTATTTGTTTTATGTTATCGTTTGGGAATGTTCTAAAGGAAAGACCTAAGATTTATTGCTAAGTATGCTCGCCAAGACATCGCATCTCGTGTCTACGTATCCTAACAAAGAAGGAATCAGAGCATTCATAGTTCACCTAACTACGAGTGAGGAGCACTTGATAATGATCAAGGTTCCAAGGGGAAGGTAAGTGTATGTGGTAAGACACCTACATAGAGTTAAGAAACTTAAACTTAAGGCTAGGTTAAAAGGGGAGATAAGTGACCATGGCAAGACACTTACATAGAGTACGACGACTCAAATCCTAAGACTAGGATAAAAGGGGAAGAAATATCCATGGCAGAACACTTATATAGAGTACAACGACTCTAATCCTAAGGCTATGATAAAATGGAAAGGGAAGGAAAGGAAAAGTTAGGCTAAGTTATCCTAAACATGACATAGAGTCAACAGAGGGAAACCTTTCCTTTGGAATGGGGTATAGGCAACAGAGGGACAAAGAGATAAACCTCAAGTATCAAATGTAAGATGAATATCAACATGTACAATGAAAATGCTCAAGCAAATCAAAAGCTCAAAGGGTAAGGCATTACCAATCAAGTCAAGTTAGAAAGATGACAAACAAGGTGTAACAACATTTGTAACTTAAGGTGACAACCAAAAGTCAAACTCAAAGACTAAATGGATAAAAAGAGATAAGAACTCATACAAGTCAGTAGCTACAATACAACATGTTCAACACACTCAAATGATTAATAAAATGGCACAAGAGAAATCAATCATGTATCAAAATAAAAGGCACATGGTTGTCATAATCCAATCATAAGAAAAGAATCAAAGATGGTTCAAACATAAAAGTCAAAGCATGAAATCAAGATAGGTCAGTATAAAAACCATACACTTCAAACTCACAATCAACACCAAAATGTCAAAGAGACTCCACAAGCATCATACCTAAAGCAAGAGCAAAGAATCAAACATGCATAAACTCAGATCAACCATAAAAGGTCTCATACATCCAAATACAAGTGAAAGCATCAAGTGGGAAAGCGGTGTACATTGAAACCAAGTAAGTCAGAAGCTTAAACATAGCTTTTCTTATCAATCAAGATCAATAAGCATCAATGGAATCCACTCAAGCAACAAGGTTCAAAGACTAGTTAAACAAAACATGATCATGTCGAAAAACTAACCCTAACTTGTGACATTAATGAAAAATAAGAAAATGGCCAAATAAAATCAAACTAATGGCTCTAACTCATGGCAATAAACTCAATCGTACGTGTGTAAAAGGATCTCTAAAAGAAAAGCACAAGGGCATACCCAAAATTAATCAACAAGTATAGGGTACTTCACTAATTGAGCACTAATCGAGGGTCAAATTAAATAACATGAAACAAATCAAACTAAAATATTCAAACACCAAATTAGAACTCAAAATTTTTTCACTCATATGCCAGTGTATCACCAAAAACATGGCTCAAGAAAGCACACACAAGGCCTCAAAAATCAAAACCCTAACTCAAGGGAAATTTGGTAAACACCTTTCACAAATAATCAAAAATAAAATAGGAAAATAATTTTAAAAATAAAAATAAATTCTTGAAACATGAAAATATCTAAAAATATTTTTTATGGATTTTTTAATGTAAAAGAAAGTTAAAAATAAGAATGAAAATGAAATGGAAAATAAAATAAAATAAATAAGACAAGTGAAAGGGAAATTTTGAAAGAAGAGGAAAATAAACTGAAACACGATGATGGACCAGGAAGGTGGGAGTGTGAA